GAAGAAATTTAAACGTAATTAAAATTACTTCTATCATTCAGTAAAAGAAACGAATTGTAAAAAAGTGTTCCGTTAAAATACAAAATGCAAAAAAAAAAAATTCTGAAATAAAATAAAAATTTCCCAATTATTTATAACATTTCAATCAAAATTACTTCAATATATAAATGCTATTAATCTAATAATAATGCAACCATAAACTTAAAAACCAAAAAAAAAAAAATATTTCTTTTCATTTAACTCATGTTGAATTATTATCATCCTGTCAATTGTTCAGATCCGGAATGGCATTTGTTCCGGAATAATATGCCTGTTTAAGTCATCAAAAGTATATCACTTATCACTTTGTTAGCAATAAGCAATATCTAATTTAAAATTATTCCTTTATTGTGGGAAATGCTTTTATGAATAAATTTCATCAAAGAAAGTTTAAAAGCAAAAATTATTTTTTTGAAAACAAATTAAAAAACAAAAAAAGAAACCTATGTAAATCTTTGTTTAATATTAGTTTTTTTTTTTTGCATGTGTCACTGAATAATTGAATTCTGTTATTAACATACAATTAATTAATTAAATAATTAATTAATGGCTGAAGTGATATTATATCAATGAAGAATAATGGCAAACATAAAAGAAATTATTGGAATTTATTAGAGATACGATGAATAATAAATACTAAAAGTTTAAGATAATTCTCAATCTGAAATAAGTCATCGATCATTCAATGAAATCAATAAGTTTGACTTTACAATTTCGAGATTAGCTATCTCACATTCAATCTTGCGGTAACTTTTCGATTTTTATGGCTTGTTGAAGTCATAATTGATAATAATAATTATTATTATCACTGTGATAAAAAGGAAATGACAATAACGAAAAGACAATATGATAACAGTAGAAATAATAGTAATAAAATAGCAGTAATGAAATTGACTGATATCAGAATTCGTATATATCAATGATATCAGAAATTTTATTGTCAGAAAAAGTATTTCATTTTTTTTTTACTGTTATTGCAGTTTAAATATAGAAAAGAAACAAAAAGAATTCTAAAAAATTCGACAAATATCTCTTTAATTTTATTCATTAAGTTAATAAGTTTTCATATTTCATTAAGTTAATAAGTTTTCGTATTTCATTAAGTTAATAAGTTTTCATATTTCATTAAGTTAATAAGTTTTCATATTTCATTAAGCTAATTTTACTAATGGTCAATTAGAAGAAAAAAGGAAATATTACTAATAGAATTTTTAAAAGAATTTTTTGATTTATTAATTTTTAACATTTCCATACACACGCATAAGCCAATTTTTCACTAATTATCAATTAATGTTTGACAGAATCTATGCAATAACTTTTTCTAAATTAAAGCAAATAAAATGAAATATAAATTTTCATCATTTTACAACTGTTAAAATTTAACTGATAAGATTTAAATATAATTGAAAATGAAATATATGAAATTAAATTTACTTGCAAAGAAGTGTTCCATCTTTTAATAATTTAGCAAAATTCTCAGGTGTTCCTTGAGTAGAAATATTTTCGCCGCTTATCTTCTTGATCCATTCCAATAAGCCCTCTGCTTCTTCAGCATTAAATTTTGATGCTTGCTATAAGCTATTCTTTATCATTTTACATACATATAACATCACAGTTAATGAATTATCAGTCTTATCACATTCTTATCACTAATATTTAAGATATACAACGATTGTTCTATTAATATTTTAAATTAATATTTGAGGAATAAATGAATAAAAATAGAAAGTTACCAAAAAATTTTTTTAATGTATAAAATTTTTTAATTTAAATCTCGGAATAGAATTTTTGTTTAATTTCCTTTTTTTTTTTTTTTTTTGCCTTTTTTCCCTTCTTCTACCTTGTTTTTCTTTTTTTTTTCGCCCAAATAGCTAATAATTAATTCTAATTCCAGAAAAAGTAAAAAAAGCAAAATGAAAAAACAAACAAACAATAGTAACAAAAAGGAAAAATACAATGACATATAGATAAACATATAATTTCAAGTTTAAAACTAATGATATTTTCTTGAAATTCCAATTTGATAGAATAAAAATAATTTTTCATTCATTTATTTTTCTTCAGTCTTACCTTTTGCATAACAGCAAAGCCAATACCGCCAGCAGTTGTACGAGTTGACATTTTTGGCGCTATTTGTTTTTAATGGAAAAAATAATTTGAACGAAATTCTTCACTGAGTGAAAAAAAATATATTTGCTTCAATGAATGCAGCTGTTTAGATAGATGGTTGAATGAATGAAGTGGAAATGGTGTAAAGTAAGATTTAAAGTTAAATGTTGCTAGTGAATGCTAGATTAGCTTAGCAGATCAGAATAGTCGGTCGGATAGACTGGGGATGAGTTTGAACACAATTCCGCCGCCAATAGGCGCAATTTAGACGAGTAGCGGTTTTACAATGGATATATACACCACACCCACTCATCCAGAATGATTGAAATATTTTTCTTCTTTTTCTTCTTCTTTCTCTTTATTTTATCGAAAAAAAAAGTAAGTAAAGAAGAAAAAAAGAGAGAAAAGTAACATAAATTTTTTAGTAAGAATGAAAGAAATCTGTAGAACCGGAAGAATAAAAATAGATTATGAAGAAAAGAAATCATAGATTTAATTAAGGAAAAAAAAAAACTTTTCTAAATTAATCATTTTACTTTATCAATCTTCTGATTCCATCATCCATTGTAACTTTTTGTTTAGCTTTCATATCATTTACATTAACTGCTTGAATCATTGTTGAGGTATGACTCATCATCCACTTATCACTAGTGTTAGCTGTCTGCTAGTGTAAGCATTTGCACTAATTGTTTATTATTAAGTATGACTCATCATCTTATCACTATACTTGCATCTATGCATAATCATTAATTTTATCCATCTATCGATTTTGTTATTCAAAAATTTTTATCACATTTCTTTTTCTTTCTTAGATAATCCATTATGCAAAATTCATAATTAGAATTTCTGTGCTTACTTAGCTATAAATCAGTTTGCTAATTTGTTAATAAAAAATTCCCATTTTGTTAACTATTATTAACAAAATTTAAGAATTTTTTGAAAAGAAATATTAACAAAAAAAAAAAAAAAGAAATTTGTTTGCTTCTTTCCAAATATAATGCAACCATTTAACGAATAAGTTTAGAGAGAAAAAAACCGAACAACTGTTTTTAATTTTTTAACGTTTAAAATTCTTTTATTTTTCCTAAAAACTTAATGTTGAATTTTTCACATTTAAAAATTTTCTTTTTAAAGTACATTTTTTTCTATTTTTTTGTCGTTAATTTTTTTTGCTCTGAGCAATACTTCAAGAAAAAAGAAGTAACTATTATTATTGCGAAAATTTTAGCTCTAAATTTTTGAACATAGGATAAAATTCATTTTGAATTATTGAAAAAAAAATAAATGCTTACTTTATTATTTATCAAAGTAATTGATTAATTAACAAAAAGCAGTTAGAATATTAGACTAATTAAGTATTTTTTTTAACATATGAAAGCTTAAATATGACTAATTTCTAATTCAGTTATTATTAAAATCAATAAACTGATTGATTTTTTTGTAAATAATTTTGATTTTTGCAAATAATTCAGTAAAAAAAGTTTCTTAAATTTTGAATAAAATTTCACTACGTCAAATATACTTCGTACCAGAAAACATTTGCAGAAGTATTCAATTTCCAAAATTAGATTTGATATTAGGAGTTGTCCGTTGGTAACTATCATGTCTGTCACAATTAAAGGTACCATGGTACCATGTATAACATATGTGGTGCTTTCTTAATTGATATGTATATAACAATGCAACATTACAATATACTAATTGTGGTACCTCTGGCAACTCATAATTCATGGTTTTTTTGGTAATTCATGGTACTTCTTGTAATAATTTTTAATCTATTAGCTATGATATTTATGAAGCATTTTAAATATTCTCTGCAATAATTATGAGTCTTTTTTTTTTTAAAAAAATACCAATTGATAACAATATTTATTATTGTAAATATATAAATGCTACTTTTTAGTTGATAATAATTATCTTATCATTAGCATTAACATATTAGTGACAAAGCCAGGAGTAAATATATATGCATTCTAACAAAGAATAATATTTAATGATATCAAAAATGAATTATGCTAAAATAAAATTGATTTACATCACAATGATTTTATATAATCCATAATCCAAAATATTTTAGCAGTTTATTTCATTGCAAAAATTCGTTTAAATTTGTAACTTCATTTTTTTTTTTTTTTATTTATGCAACATATTGAGCAAAACCTTTGGTAACAAATTAAAAAACGAATATATGAGTTTTAGTTACATTATTCTTATCACTACATTATCATTGTCTGATAAGAATGTAAAGTGAAGTACATTATATATTATGCAAATTGAACTGTTTTTTTTTTTTTTTTAATTTAATAATTTGCAGCTAAAATCATTCAGAGTTTCAAATGATAGTCATTTTTTTATTTTGTTTATCTAAACTTATCCTAAGTTACAAAAAAGTTATCAAAATAAATTTAAATATGAAATGAAATTTGTTGATTGCTATTATATCATACAAATCATATCGTTGATTATCGATCTAATCGACCTATTAAATCAGACAAATATATCTGTTGGATTAATAGGATAAGGCACTGTAGCAAATGATCATATCAATCAATGGCGATTAATATCACCGGTTGATTGATTGATTGATTGATTAGATTAGACATTATTTTGGAATTGATAAGTTATCACATAAAAAGCTCATATGATAAATTACTTTTTTATCACAAATTAATGAAATAGAATTGCAATTTAGGGAAAATTAAACGATGGCAAAATTTTTCCTTTCCTTTACTTTAATCAATCACTTATATAATTAACTTACATAATTAATTTGATAATATAATTAGTAATTAGTTCTTACCATATCAATGCGTCATTGATTATCATTTTGATAACACCTTTTTTCCAATAATTTAGTCTACAAGATAAGTAATCTGATAATAACTAGTAGCATCAGGCAATTTCTTCATCGAGCATAACATGCCGTCATTATCATTATCACTATCATTCTCGATATCATCATCACCTTTATTATCATCATCGTCATTAGCTTCATTACCATTTTTGATTTCATTGTTTACAATATCCGAATTTAGACAGTTGCAAAGATACGTCAAACTGTTTAATATATCTGTAAAAATTTACAGATAAATTTGAAAATTTGTAAAAGACTTCAAAATATTTTAAAAAGGAAAAATGTAAATAGAAAATTTGATAAAACAGAGGAGGGAAATAAAAATAGAAAAAAAAAATGGTATCAATTATATCAAATATAATATATCATAAAGATTCTCCAATAAAATTATGTTCAAAAGTAATAAAACTGTTTTTTTTCTTTTGAGTAGTCAAATAATTAGTAAACTTTAATTAGTCAAAAAAATTTTATTCCATTGTAGAGATTTAACTGATTAGACAAATCCAATCAAAAAGAAAAAAAAAAACATCATAGTATAAATTAATTAATTACTTAATTGCTTCCGATAATGAACTTAGCAATTAAACAATGAATATCATTTTTTTTTTTTTGCTCTTGCTTTTTTTTCAAAATTTGGCTGAAAAATTCTTTAATGAAATTTGAAATACTTGGACTTTTGTGTTTTGAAAAAAGCACGAGGCGGTAATTGCTTAATTAAATTAATTAAGATTACCATGAAAGAAATCGTCATCATTTGTACTGGCGCATATTGTAAGTGGAAGAAATGGGCGGAAAACAACGTCACATAAGTCAATTAAAATGAGTGATATTCGAGCTGCCCGTAAGAAACGATTAATTTCACGGACCGAATTTGGGAAAAGTGTTGGCGTGAATAATAGCAAAGCATCTGTAATCATTATTCTATGGTCAATTAAAGATTTTAATAAAAAATATTTTGAAAAAAAATATATTCCTTAAAAAAAAAAAAACAATTTATTGATTTTTCTAAAATTCAAAATGTTAGTATTATGAAATAAAACAAATGCCATAAATTCCGTTCAAATGTTATATATTTCATGAAAATAAGCAGAAAAAGGCAAAATAATCTTTAATTGCTATTTGTTTATAAAATAAAATAATTTCAACAAATTTAAAAATTTCATTTTATGACATTTGCAAAAAATTTTTATAACAGTAATATTCTGAGATTTAAAATTAAAAAAGAAAAAGTAATAATAATAGTAATTAAGTGATCAATAAATAAATATTTTAGACTATCAAACATTTTAAGTTGTTAAAATAGCAAAGAGATGGTGAAAAAAATGTTTTTTTGAAAAATAAATTTTTGTTCTGCTATTCTATTATTGTACTACCACTATTATAATTATAGTTATAATTATTATAAATGCAATAATAATAATAACTATTATTGCTATCTGTTATCATTATCATTTATCAAATAATTGGTTATTATTATTATTATTATTATTATTACCAATTATTGTCATTAATAATAATTTTCAATTATTGCCAATTGTTATCACTAACTATCATCAATTGTTGTTATCAGTTATTTTCAACTATAATTGTTGTTCATTATTTTATCACATGGCAAATCCATCTTTGAAGAAATACAAACAAAAGCCATATGATAAAATTATGATTGTAAGGCAAACATAGAAAGATACTGAAAAATTTTTAAAAATGAAAATTTTAAAAATAAAATAATTTCAAGAGAAATTTCAAAGTATATTTTATAACGTTTGTAAAAATTTTCACGTGGTTACACCATATGCTTCCGAATGAAATGATAAAAGAAAGGTTGATAATAATAAAGAAAATATTTGCTTTCTTTTATGAGAATTATTTTCAAAATATTTCAGTACTGTAAACATTTCAGAGAATATGACCTAATTTATGGTACTTTATTGTTGCAGAAAAACTTCATAATGTGATATGTATGAAATTAATGGCTGCTTTGCAATATAAAATTAAATTTTTCAAATCAACCTGAAATAAATTATTGTCTTTATCTCATTTCTTTTTCGATTTTTCAACTTTTATTTGTTTACTTTTATTAAGCCATTAAAATTTCAAGAAACTTTTGTATTTAATCTTACAATAAATTTCAAATATATGTTTTCAATTTTTTATTTTTACCTGTATATGCATCTGTTGTTGAGCCAGCTGATTGTTGGATCAAATTTTTGAGTGATCGGCAAATCAGATAAGTGAATTGACGTAGAAAATATGGCAATTGTAGGATTAAACTGAATATACAAAGCTTTTTTTTCAAAAAAAAAAAAAAAAAAAAAAACAAAATAATGAAAAAGTAAGATTAACTTTTTGACATTTTCAGTAACAATTATTATAAACAATAACAAAAAATAAAAATATCAAAGATATCAAAAAAAAAAAAAAATTAATATTAAGAATTGTGATAAATATGGAAAATGAACAGAACGAAATTAATATATAGTTAAAAGATAATTAAATAATTAGCTAATAAAGTTAATCGATATTTTAATTTATTGAAAAATTTGTGCTTCAATAATAATTTATTTACATACAAATTTTATCTAACTAATTTTTCTACTTGTTCGTTTTTAAATTTTACTTTCTCATATGATAAGACAACAGATTTTAATGCTATTAGCACTAACATTTAATTAATTATTTTTAATATTAAAAATTTTATTTTCTGATGATTTTTTTAATTAAAAATTTCTTTCTAAATCACTTAATTAACTAATCCGAGCATTCATTTAAAGAAATGAAAAGTATTAAACTGTCCAAAAATTTTGAAAAAAGAAAAAGAAAAAATAAAACATAAAATACTGAAGAATTTAAACAAATTTTCACATTAAAATACTAAAAAAAATTTTTTTTTTTTCTAGTATCTAATCGGAAAATTTAAATGATGAACTGGTTGAAAATATCTAATGATATCAATATCTAATGATCGAAAATTTAAAATCGAAAAAAAAATCCAATACCTAATAATCAAAAATTTAAAACGTTATAGTAATTTCAAATAATATAGCATTTTTTCAAAAAAAAAAAAAAAAAGAAACTTTTCTTAAATTTCGAAAAATTTCAATTAATTTATTTGTTTCGTCTTTTTTACATTTATTAATTTTGCATATTTGCTGTTGGAATTTTGCTTATTATTCACAAGCAATTATCAAAAATCCTTAATTGTCTTTTTTATTTTCAATAGTTCAAATTTTTTTTTTTACAATCAACAAAAAAAGCAAAAAAAAAAAAAAAAAAAAAAATTTGAATTTTGTTCGAAATTCAATGACACGTACCCATTTACGTATACAAGTGCTGTCTGAAGTGATGATCCAAGTGAAACAGATAAAAATTCCTCCCATCGATCATCAAATATACCACACGGAAAATTATTTAGTATCTCCTATAAAGACAATGAAATAGTAATAATAATTCAAAAATAATAATAAAAGAATTAAAAAGCAGAACGAAATATTAAAATGAACAATAAAATTTAATCGTAATTTTGAAATAATAAAAACTTGAAATAATTTTCAACAACATAATCGTTTCAATATCATTTTTAAAATAATTAATCTAATTTTATAACCCATTTATAGCAAATCATTATTTGAATAGGGGAAATACTTTATCTTTGTTTGGAAATAAAAAGTTTCGAATTCATTTACAAAATATGCATTTCAATTTCATATATTATATTTAATTATTAAGTAAAGATTTTCTAAGTTTTCTTTTTTTTTTTTTGGCATTTATGACGACAATAATTACAAAACAGCTAAAATAATCAATATATATAGTTGAATTCATTAATTCATTCATTAAATTAAGACATATCAAAACAAAAACTCATTTCCTTTTTTCTCACTCTATGAATATTGCATAATTTTTTAAAAAGAAATTAATATAAATTTAATTTAAAAAAAAAAAAAAAAAAAGAAAATTATTCACAAAAAAAGAAATAATAACCTTCAAAGTAGTAATAATTACGTTAGCATCAATGTATGCTAATTCATTCTTTACATATTGCTTTCGTTTTAATTTCATAAGTAATTTTTGCACTTCTGTAATTAATTAATTAAGTATTATATTGAAAAGAACAAATAGACAAAAATATAATATACAAAATTTTATAGTATATTTAACAAAAAAAAGTAATAATAATAATAATACAAAAACTATTATAGCTATAAAATAATTATAATTTCTAATTTCTTTCATTGAATCATTTCATTTCTAATCTAAAACAAATAATTGCTAATTATTTTGAAATACAAAAAAGAAAAAAAAAGTGGAAAATATTTTCAATGTTTAAAAACTGTAATGAAATTGAAACTAATTATGCCAATGTTTAATTCTAAAAAATTAATTTTTCATTTCTAACTTTCATTTTTTTCTTTTTCTTTTTTTTTTTGAAAGTCTTCATTTCTCGTCTTTTTTTTCAAATTTCAAAAATCAGAGATTATACCAGGTGTGTCGGTATATCGTAGTCCAAGACGTCGTCGCATTTTCGGATCAACTTTCAGGTCACAAATCATGGCCAAAAAATACTGAAATTTAAAACTATTTTTAAGAAAAGTTTTTAAGAGAAATTAAAACAGTACTAATATTATTTTATTCTTGAGCCAAACTAAATTCGGAATGTTTTATGTAACAAAATTTAAAGATATTTATTTTTTTTAATTAGCTTTAAATTTATTGTCATTTCTTATTGGTTTTTTTTAAAGAATTAATATTGCATCTAATACATTCTGCTCAATGTTACAATTTCTTAAATCTTTCAAAGTATGAAAAAAAGTATCTAAGTTTAATTTTTCAAATTTTTCAACAAACAAACAAACAAACAAACATGATAAAGTTAAGATCGGTAAATATCAAAATCAATGCAACATGCAGCCAAATCTCTCAGCAAAAGTTAATGCTATCGTAATAATAATTTTGATTATCATTTATAATTTAAATTGACTGTATCATAATTATCATGATTAATATTATTATCATGAACCAAACCTCGAGAGTTGATTGAGCAATAATTTTATTAGGCGACATTTTGTGACATATTTGTGATTTAGTTGTCGTACAATACTCTTGTTTGTCATATTCATTGTAATTATTATTGATTGTAGAATAATTTAGAAAAGTTGCATTAAGATCAAACATAAGTTGCATTGATGAAGTTAACTTTTCATTCTACAAAAATGAAATTTTATTGATTAATTGGAAAATTAAAATAAGACTTTCTCTGATATTTATCAAGAATTATAAAACTATTTTATGATTTCATTGATTTATTTCAATTTTTAATGAGTATTAAAATATGATTTTGAAAATTTTTATCAAATATTTTCGAAAATTCATCAATTTTAGGTCAAATATTATGATCATATATACATATCCTTCAAATAAAACGATAAAATTGGGTTTGTTTAAATGACATCTCTCTTATTTACAACATTAATCTTATCAATTTCAACTGATACAAAATGGGTTCACAATTTTGGATAATTTCCTAAAATTATATTAAACAAAGTAATTTCATTTTGATTGCATTTACATAATTTTTTATAAAATTTGATGAACATTTACTAAATTATTTCTAACAAAAATTCTACTATCCTAAAATTTGTTCTTTTATTTATTTCTTATTTCAATAGTCATTTAAATGTTTTAATTATATTTCAAAAAAAAAAAAAACCAAACAACAAGCGAACAAAAAAAGAAACATCCTGATAAGTTTTGATAAGTCAATCAAACAAAAAATAGTGTCATATCAGTGCATTTCTTGAATTTTAAAATTTCTAACCATAAATAATTATATATAAAAAAGAAAAAACAATGCGATTTATATTTCAATCTTTCGAAAAAAATTTTTTTTTTGATTAGAAATTTTTAGTATTCATAATAATAAACCAAGCAAATTTCAATATTTTAAAAATTTCATATTCAAATTTCAACATGTAATACAAATTTTACAATCTCAAAGTTTTAAAATATTCTTTAAATACAAAAAAAAAAAAGAATAAACTTTCTAAAGTAATAGTTTGAGTATTGAAAAAAAGAAATTCCTATAAATTTCAAAATTTTTTCCAGTTATTGCTTATAATGAAATATTAGAAATGAACTTAAATAATTTATTAAAGAATATTAGCACATTTGTCTTTCTTTTTGCTTTTTTATTTATTACTAAAATGAAATCATATTTGAAATTGGAATTTTTATTTGAAATGATTTATCAGAGTACAGAAATGAAATAATTTTCTTCGTTTCTTTTTTTTTTTTTTTTTGATTTCATTCCACTTTAATGAATAAAATATTTTGCAAAGGAAAAAATGTGAAAATGTTATTAGCAAGAAAAAAACAAAAAAAAAAAAGACAAATATAAATTTTAATTATTCATTTACTATTAATGTAATCTTTGTAATTGATTTACAGTAATAATAATAATAATAATAATAATAATAATAATAATAATAATAATAATAATAATAATAAACAATAGCTTTCATAATTAGTGATATTTATAATTGCAATACTGTATTTCTTCATGGATTTTCAAATGTTATTTGCAAAGAAAATAAAACGAAAAATTGACACATAATTATGCTAAAGTGGAAATTAAAAAAATAGAGAAAACAAAAGTTGAAATTTTAAGTTGAAAAATGGTGGTTTTACCTGCAAATTGTTGTGATTACAAAAAATTTGACATGAATTATGTTGCAAAAAGAAAAACAATAGTTAGCTACCTGTATTTTAGGTCGCATTCTTATTCTTTTATTACTCTTGAGAAAAATTTATTTCAGAAACAATTATTGATGTTTTTTATAGGTGATAAATTGTTTTTTCTTGCTATGCAATTTTCTAAAATATAAAATTTTTAATACAATTAAATTTTTAGTCAAAAAAAAAAAAAGTTGAAATGATTAAGAAAATGATAACGATAATCTTTTTTTTTTCTATTCAACAAATTTTAGTAAATTAATTCAACAGTAAAATTCATATGATAATGGTCATATGATTAAAATGATAATTATTGTTTGTGTTATTGAAATGGTATTGATAGTAACAATAATAATCATATTCATTTATATTATTGGAGTAGTAATAATGATAATAGCAATGATAACGATCATAATGTGTTATTAGACAGTGATAACAATGGTAATAATAAGTGCCTGTATTATTATTATTATTACTGATAATGATAATGAATGTTTGTATTATTGAAATAGTAAGAATGATAGTAATTATAAGGAATAAATGGAAGAAATATAAGGAGAAGAAATGGAAAATAAATTTTATCATTGGAATGAATGAGATAAGAAGAACAAGTTTTGTAAAATTAAGCTAATTATGAGAGAGAGGGAGAGAGAGGGAGAGGGAGAGAGAGAGAGAATTAACAAAAACTAACAAAATGAATAACCATTGTAGCACACACTTTCTTCCAATAAATATTCAATTAATGACTGATACCTGACCGATTACAATCACACTATCATCCACCGATCGGTGACGATAGTACCTGTAGCAATGATATTTGATACTGTGCGTAATAATGAGAACAATAATTATTACTACTACTACTACTGCTACTGCTGTTGCTGTTACAATTAATATTTCAACAATTATCAATCGTCTTAGCAACAATTATATTAGAATTGTTTATGAAAATCTTTATACGATTATTATCCATCAATAATAATTTCATTATTAATCTATAAAATTAATAAATTCCAGTTTAAGACAATCATATGATTTTCTGATTTGTAACATTAATGAATTCCGGTTTAAGAATAACTTTACAATTTATAATGCTGCTTTATAGAAAAAAAATATGATACCTTTTATTTTATTTTTTAACATTCGCTATTGAAATCCGACTTGAAATAATCATACATTCTCTGATAATAATAATCACTATAATTGAGTAATATGACATTACTATATCTTTATTTCATTTAATTTCAATACTGGAGAGCAAATTAATAAATGTTATATTATAAGCATAGTTGTAAGAATTTTTATAGTATTCATTTATAACAAATACATTCTTTATTATTCATTAAAGAAAAGAAAAAAAAAATGTTTTTTGTTTTCAAAATTTTAAAATATTTTAAATTTAGAATGGAAATAGTTTAGACTGCGAATGAAAAATGATTATTGATCATATTTATAAATGCTTATATGAAATAAATTTAATTTATGTTGCTAAATTGAAAAATTCTAATAACATGCATCAATACTGTAAGTGTAAACAGAAGAAAGGAAGAAAAATCGAAATGGCAGCAAATAGAAGAAAAAAATAAAATAAAATATTGAAACAATAGATCAGAACCATGCCAATCATCTTTTTCATTTTTTTGCTTATTTACTTCATAAAATAAAAGATTTATCCACTTCAGCATTTTTTTTTTTTCTTTTGAATTATTCACTTTATTATTCAAATCATTCATTTGCCATGGTCATAGATGATGCAACTATAAGTAAACATATTGTTTCCTTTACTTCTTGTTGATGCTTTTGTATAATTGATACTTAAGGATGAATATTTAGCTAAAGAAGAAAAGAGATAAAACCATTTATTATTATTTATGATTGACTGATTCTGATTACTTAAATTATTAATAAATGCAAATTAATGGCAATCATTTGGGAAATATGCGATTAATTGACTGTCTCATTCCGCTTCTTATCTTATCACACTATTCGATTACTCAAAATATTTGCACACCATAGGTGTACTACGTACATATCATAAAGCACCACCCGGTCAAATTTATCAAACAATTACGTTAGAAACTAGCTTCAACTTTTAATAAATCATCTTATCTCTTGTTTTCATATTCTTTATCATTTCTGTTAATTGTCCACTTTACTATTTATCGATAGCTTTCCATGTTGAGCAAATGGTAACATTCAGCTGAAAGGTTGAATTTAAATATTTTACAAATAGTCAATCAACACTTTGCCAAAACTATAACCTACAGAGGTGAAAATTTGAAAGATTTGTAATAATATACTATGCAATGAGCAGTATCGTTTATTTCAGTACCAAAAATTCAAATTAGGAGAAATAATAGGCAACATTTGTATCAGTGCATTAAATTTAATAATTCCTATTTCTTCTTTCATTTAACTAGGCTTTTTCCATGACTTGAAAGTTTTACAGATTTAAGGTAAATCATCCGTATGAATCAGTAATATTACGGAAATTAACTTCCAAAACTTCATTAAATATTCCAAGTTTCGGGATATCCAAATCAATAATAATAAAATTTTCTGACGCTTAACTGAAAAATCTGATCCTTGTATTTCAGGAGAAAATTCTGATAGTAAAATCAAAACAGTACCAATGAAAAAAATTACAGTAAAAGGGAAGGATAATGATTACATTCCGTAAACTAATCTCGTTCCCATGTAATCCATTTTCTGAAATGCGTATGCATGTATCTATGACAGTGTTGCAGTTGCAATCAAACTAATACCATTTGAAGTATGTCACAATGAAACAAATCATAATCCAGTACAATTATACCAATTATACATCAGTAAGAAAGTGACGAGTGTTACAATTATATCATTAATGTAAAAAGAAAAACACACATAAAATTAAATTTGCCCATGTGCATACAAATTTAAAAACCATGAATTTTGCAATTTTCCTCCTTGACAATTCCAACTCTGCAAAGAAAATCCTTAATATGTTGCCTTTGATCACCGGTAAGCTGGATTACTTCACCATATTCCGGATGATCAACTGTAGTTCCATTACAGTTATATTCCTGGAAATTCGCTAATTAAATCCTAGAAAATATAACTATGTATGCATATCAAGCTTTTCCATTTACACTGCATATCCATCAGCAGCAATCTGCTTGATCAAATTAGGATCTTTTTTTTTTTCAAATAACTAAAACTCTTAGTTCATCAAATAATTTAAATAATTTTACTAGTCAAAAACAACCATGATATCATCTTTGAATCCAACTTCACATTTATCGCAAAAGTTCCATAAAAAGTAAATTTAGGGAAAATTTTCCGAAGAAATTCATTAAAGAAAGTAATTATTAAATTTTTATTAACACTTATAAGCTGAAACATTAGCTTATACAATGTCTGGATCAATTATTAATCATCCCTCATATTCAGTACCACTCTAATAATTAATATTTACTTGGAAATTTAAAATATTGCCTCTGTGCAAATAAAAGCATAAGTTAAAAAAAGGAAGACAAAAAAAGGGAAAAAAATAACCGAAACTCCTATGTATTTTCTATTTTATAAAGAGCAGCATCTAATGTTCTGTGAAATATGAAATACTGCAAAAAAAGAAAGTAGAGGTGTAGTAAGTTGTGACATTTAGAAAAAAAATAAGGAAAAAAAGAACAAAAAATATTACCACATAGTATCCATAAAATGGTCATAAGTACTAAATTTCAATTTTAATTTAAATATCACATCAATTATTAGCTAACAGTTTGGATCAACAAACTTGCTGTTCGTTTAAAATATCAAATGTAGACTACTTTAGAATGACTTGCATTTAAATTTAAATGATTTTAAGAAGACGGAAATATCCAGAAAAATAATCATTTGAACTGGACATTGAAAATGGTGAAACAGAACAGTACTATCGACAAACAACCACAATGTAATGATCTTGACGAATAGAAGAAAGAAAATGAGCATGGAAAAAATGAGCACAGATTTTAAAACCTAACGAAGTGATTGAATACTGCACCTTCCGATAGATTTTGTCATAGAATATGAGATAATGAGCTTTTTTCACTAAATCAAGATTCGTATCAACCCATAACTTCGGATCATTATGAAAACGATCAGCCTGATCCACATGACCCATACGACGGGTAAAATCAGGTGAACAATCAAGTGCTGTCACTGTTACATTTAAACCATGAAAATAACTATATTGTGGTAAGGAGAAACAAGGCATTAAATGAACCAATTCAAAATGTTGTTCCTTTGGAAAACGTAATTTCGCATCCTCAATAATCCAATATGTTGCAGAAAAAGGACCAACTTGATGAAATAAACCGAAGTATAGTGCCAAAGATATATTAACGACAAGCAATAATGGAATCCAGAAAATATAATATTTTTTCATCCTATACGATACCCTGGTTTGGAAAAAAAAACCAGCGAAAAGACATAATAGCGGTATTATAGGTAACAAAAACCGATGTTCCTTATGAGCAATGAAACTATGAATTGTGATATATAGTGCAGGAACACAGAAGAAAACAAACGGGATGGAATGGTTTCGTATAGCAACAACCATACCCCATAATATAGGAACCAGGTGTACTGCTAGCACAGCAGGTAAGCCTTGCGATAGAAACCAGTGCCAAGGATGTGACCCAAAATGACTACTTCCACCTTCTAAAACATTGAAACGAATGAAATTCCATATTGTAAATGTCAACTTTCCATAAGCAACAGAATCCAAAATAGTGGCAAGAAATAGAACTGGAAGGCATGATGATAAGCAAGTATAAAATAATTCCATTGACGAATTCGTTCGCCAGAAATGCCATAGGCCAAAAGGAATCCAAATTAGGATAGCAGTGGGTCTGATTAAAATGGTTAGGAAACCAACAGAAATATAAGGCCAATAAGATTTCTTTAGATCATCTTCAGATAATGGATACCACTGAAGGGCGAATATTGTTAATATCGTTTCTAATGTATTTGAAAGAGTACGTGGAGCACAATACCATACAAACCAACATGATGAATAACTTAGAAGAGCATATTTTGCTCCATTAGATGATAGAATTCGTTTGGCAAGTTTATAGTAACAATAATCTGAAAGTGCGAATAATAACGCATGTAATACACGAGGACTTTGAATAATAAATAAATTTGAATCAATGACAAATTTATGACCCAAGAAATATAATAGAGAAATCATAAATGGATGCAAAACGGAACGAAGTGAAGCCATCCATTCCCAGGATAAATATCCGGTACCATACACAGCCCAATGAGCTATTTCCACACTTTGAAAAAGTTCATCCGGTACAAAATATGTCCGAACCAAAAAGACATTTATAATGCGAAACGCAATCAAAGCGTATAGGAGAATGGATTTTGCTGGCATGATATTTCGTTTCGGTATATGATTCTCAGTCACTGCAAAATTCCTTCTTTGGTCGATATTTCACGTCTGTTCATAGGAAATAATTTTAGGATTAATCAAATTTCAGAATTAACAATATTTAATCAGCCGATGCTGGCTGCATGTCTCTTGTATATATTTCAGGATAAATGCAAAGTAAAATTATACAGAGCAAAATTCAGGAAGAAACTAAATGATATATAAAAACATATAATGTAAAACAGAATTGAGATAAATATCCTCTGATAATCAAACAGTGATATAAGCCAAGATTCCGGAGCATTGAAAATATAACAATTAGTAACAGAAATGAGAATTATATAGGTCTCATAGTTTTGAAAAGAGTGACAGGATGATAAAATCTACTGGAAATATTAAAAGGATACTAAACCCAAATATATTCAGAATCTGAAACTAACAATCATCCAAATTTACTGGTACTATAGAAAACCCGCAATAGCTTAAATAGATGTCCAGATTGCTACATGACACAAGTGTCATATTCTGTCATATTTTTGTCAAGGAATATTTTTATGAAAGAGAAGAAAAAAAAAAAAAAAAACAAAACTACCTTCTTTAAATAGCGAACAATCTTCTTTAAATCATATTCAGGTGCAATTCCTTGAACAGTTGTGATCGTTTTACGTCCAGTTCGCTGCTGAATACGAATATGACAGAAACCTTGGCGGGTACCTTCTTCGTCTTCTAGCTGCTCAAAAGCATCTATAAAAATGCATTTAACGAAGCTACAGAGATTAGAAAGTAATGCAAGAAAGTGTTAGATTTACTTCTATCAAACGAAACGTCTAAATCATAAATTTGTTACATCAGAACACTTTATCCATTCATTTTTAACATGTTTATTAGCTCTTTATAGGAGGTTCATTAACAAAGTTACAAAAAACTTGATCTTTAATTATTTATTTATTTAATATTCGAACCAAAGAAATTAAATCAGGTCTCTAGAAAAAATCCATACCTTTAGGTTTATTCAGATTTTGAATTGATGAAGAAGCAGCCATTCGCTCTCTCCTAAATTCCTAAAAAGTTAATAATTTTTCACCAAATCTAAAAAAAAAATTTGAAAAAGTCAAAACAAGGTATTACATCCTGGGATCTAATTCCATGCAATTCATTATATCAAATAGGTATAATAGCGCCCTATTATATATACTGCAAAGTGGTTTCACACTCGCATATAATTTTGACGAAAATTTTCTCATGTGTACCTAAACTGATTATAAATTAAAGTTAAACTAACTTATACTGTAAGTGGTACTATTCTTCCGCTTCAAGTTGATACTTCGAGAATCTGGAATTAAATTCAAAACCTGAAAATCAAATCTACTTTATTTTCAATTTTATCAGATAGAGTAAATGATCGTTAATCAGTAGTGATTTTCAGTACAGATGTCTTAACAATCAGATTAAGTATCGTTACAAAACTCAAGAACAGATTATCTGGATTTTGTAGTAATTTATGATGCAGTATGATGATAAATTAACAGTGAAAACTACGAATTTGTAGGAAACATTCCCGAATTACTAAGAATACTAGGAAAGAAAAACCACACTATTCATCTATTTTCACTTGTCTACCACATCATAATCTTTCATCATTCTATCATTTCTCTACCGCTTCTTCAGCTCTCTCAATATTTTTCATCCATTCCTACACCACACCATGCTCTTTCATCAATTCCACCAAACACTATTCCTCCTTCACTATCACTATCTATAAACAATTATCTCATCTCCTTCTCAATCTTCAACCCTCATACTATCTCACTCCCACTCAGCGTTTGCAAACAGCCCATCGATTTACAAACACAAGAAAAAGAGTCGTCCATATTTTACGCCTTTATGTTTTAGTCCCAAATGTAACAAGTTTTGGATCATGAAATAAGGACGCGTGAAAATGAAGATTGTTGTTAAGGGAAAGGAAATTTAAGTAATATGAATGTCAATGAGATTCTAAAGTTAATAATTAATAATTTTAAAATACTAATATATTAGCAATAATAAATTATGCAAATCAAATTCCAATGAAATCAAAAATGCCAATAAATTTATGCGTAATTGTATTCCAAATTTAATTAACTGTTTGTTAAAAGTTTCGGTTTAATAAAAAATTCTCGTTCATTGCCTTTTCTTCCTCAAATTTTTTCTGTATTATAACAAAACAAAGTGCTATCTTTAGCATTTCTTTGTCTCAATTAATCAGCCATTCACAATAAAACTGTAAAATGTCTTGTGGAAATTAAAATTGGTGTGGAATAACTACAAGAAATATGAATAATCATAGTGTAATGCTGTATTGCAGTAGTTCTCGTCTATTTCCTTTTCTTCTAAATTGCAGTAATTTATCGTAATGTTAAGTGGTTTATTGTAATGAAATTTGAAATTTAAGGCTATTGAAAGCAAATTTAAATCTGATATTATTAATTATGAAATTTCAGTTTAATATTACTTTTGTTTCTTCTTAAATTTTAGCCTTCCATTTTCAGCCATTTAAGCTTCAATATGTCAAATAATTGAATAATTTCATTTCCAGTATAATTTTGGGTTTTTTCAAGTATTAGGAATATTTTATCAACACGAGTTATATCAGCCGATAATACATAGGTAATCGTGAAGTATTAGAAAAGTGCAAAATATTATGCTGTAAGTTTTATATTTTCTTAAAAAAGAAACAACAAATAATGTAAACAAAATTTTGAGAATTAAAAGAAAACAAAATGAGGAACAAAGTGAAATACAAGAAGCAAAAAAAAAAATCAGCAATATTGAGGTAAATAAACAACCTTTTCATATTTCAACCAAAAAATTTACAATAAAATATAAGATTTAGTTAAAATTTTGGACCAATAAATTCTCATCAAGTAGTTTGGCTTATTATAAGGATAAAGTAGATAAATAAAAGAATAAAACATTAATAATAATATGATTTTAAAACTTAATCATATATTAGTATTATTAAATAATGTGGAACAGAATTCGATACTTGAAATATTTTCAAAAAATAAAAATTGCTAGAAAAATGAATGATTTAATTTCTTTCTAATTTAAAGTAAAATATATCACTTGAAAATAATACACTGACTATTGCTGTCAACTATTATCCAATAATCAGCATCATTGGAATCATGACCATTATTATTATTATCGTTATCATTATCATTATGATTGTTATTATGATAATAATAATAATAATTATTATTATCATTATTATTATTATTGTTATTACTGTTATTGTGATTATTATTATTATTATTATGATTATTATTATGGACAAACCATCCACCAATATTGTCACTCATGATCATTATCAGTTATCACAGCTTTCATCACTATCACCATTCATTATCGACAGCATTGTTATCATTGATTGCTGATTACTATTAGTATTATTATTATTATTTATTATAAAACATAGAAAATATGATCGGCAGTGTTAATAGAAAGTTTTTTATTGCTGGAAAGTCGAATATAATTGAAACCATCCAATAGCCTACATCCAATAAAACGCATCATATCAATCCATGCTTCCATGCAAGCTGGATCGATGTCAACCTCTAAAAGGTCCGCCACCGCACACACCACTTGGCTACAAAATAATCGCACCGTCCCTTCATTAAAATATTCTGCCTATAAATTTTCTTTTAAGTTTTCTGTTAAAAAATTTTGATAAAATCAAAGAAAATTAAGTAGCAAAATATGGAAAAAAATTTTTTCCCAGCAATCAATTAGAACTGAAAGTTTTATAACTTTTTGTAAAAAATAATTGATTTGGAAAAGATGAAAGTTTTTTTTTTTAATGAACAAGTTGGTTTAATTGCAAAAAAAAAAAAAAAACTTAAAATAAATAATTTATGCAATAAAAGGAGTTAAACAGGTTTACAAGCATATAAAAATGAATTATTAAAATTCCTTAAGAAATTTTAAGTTTAGAAAAAAACTGTACTGCAAATTTATAATGCCGTTGTCCATAGCGAAAAACTGCTGGTGCAATTTCTGTTTCAAGTTCATTATCATGACGTACCTATTTTAATAATATATGAAAAATGTTATCCTAAAATATTCATTTAAAAGTTAATTTTTATTTCAAGTGAATTATTACGTCAATATGTTAAATACAAATTAAATATGTATTTCATTTTACTAATTAATCTTAATTTTTTGAAATCTAAGCTATAAAAATAATCTTGAAGAAAAATTATGCAAAATTTAACTGCAAGTGCTATTAAATTGGTGAACAATCGCATTTGTCGAAAAATGGAATGTTCCCTAGGTATTGAATCGAGCAAGTCGTACTCCTCCACATGAAAAGCACGTTTCAGTAATGGATTATGCTCAAAAACTCGTCGATAAACAAAAAATCCAAAATTTTGCTCATTAACTTCCAATTTTGCACTTATCGTTTGCCAAGATTGTCGAATTAATTCTTGCTGCTAAAAAATTTCTTAAATAAACAAAGATTTAAAAAAAAAAATGGTGATAAAACAAAAGTAATTGAACTATTGAAATGTTCCACTAATTTTTACACCTAAAATTTCTGTTAAAATTTTTAAAAGAAATTTTTTTTTAAAAACTTTACACAAGAAAGAAGTGTTATATAATGCATTTAATTTAATAGTTGTAATTATTGGAAAAAAAAAAGCATTAGTTTTTCTTTTTTTTTTTTTACGATTTATTATATTAAGTTAATTTTAATTAGGGAAAAGGAAGAAAAGCAAATTTTTATTGCAAAATTATATAAAATAATACGCTAAAAAGAAATGAAATCATTTAAAAACAAAAAAAAAGAAAAATGAAACATTTTTCTATTAGAGAATATAAAAAAAAGGAAAGAATTACTAACAATTTCTGAAAGTATACTTTCCTCTGAAGGCATTGAACGGAACGAATATGTTTTCAGTTGTTTTAGGGGTGACATTGATCGTGAAGGATCTTTAAATGGTTTCATTGTCACCTCAACATCCGATACTTGGCCAGTTTCAAAGCTTCGCATCGTTAAGCTGCCATGTGTACTGATAAATTTTAGTCGCTTTTCATTTTGTTCCATTGTTTTTGCTTTATTTCTCGACAAAAATTTAATCTTAAATTTTTAGTGCTATATAATTTTTCAAATTGTAATTTGTAATTGAAGTTATAACAAAGATTACATCTATACATATATTAACTAAGAAAATTTTGTAATAGATAATGCGTAATTAGAAGAGAAATTTGAAGTAATTAACCAAAAAAAAAAAAAAAAAATTCAAAAGAAAAAGAATTAGCTTTTTCGAGAAGTAATTTAAATTAAAAAATTAAAGAAATACTAAAGCAATCGAATAATGAAAAATTTCAATATTTGCTAATATTTGGCGCAGAAAAAAAAAATCGTCAATAATTTAAATTGAACTAAAAAAAAAAAAAACAAACTCTTCGTTCATTACTTGGTCCCGGTAAATCACGATGACGTTGAGCCATGCTTGTATTACTCAATTGTTGATATTTGATACTTCCAATATTATCACTTAATACTGCTGGTGGTGCAGTAGCATTTTCAATTGATATTACACTAAGCTTATCACCAACAAATGCTTTATGATTGTGATAACAATTCTGAAATATATATATAAGTAAGGAGAAAATTAAATGATATCTATGATAACACATTTATATATATATATATTTTAATTTAGAATCATTTAAGAATTAAATCTAAAGCTTTTTTTTTTTTTTAAAAGACATCTATTACATATTTTAAAATTTAATATTAACTAGGATTTTCAAAAAAGAAATTCCTTATTCTTCTTTTTTTCCCATTTTCCTTACTTTTGAAGCTTTTAATCACCAAGGCAACGTGATATATAGCTAAAAAGTATGTTTGAGAAAGATTTTTTAACGTAATGTAAATAAGTGAATCGTAAAAAATGTCATCAAACTTAATAAAATAATATCGATGAAATATTCTTATCAGATAAAATACACTTATTGCATCTTTTTCTGCATTCATCATTCATTAGTTTGATTGATATAATAGAAAAAAAGTAAGTTTAAATGAAGTTATCTCAGAGTTGCATTTTTCTTGATGTAATTCTCTAAAAAAAAGAAAAAAAAAAAACATATCACTACGATTGACCATGGATTGTTTAAATGAAATTATCTTCAAACAATCAATTAACATATATTAAAAAATAAATGTTCAAATTTAAAGTCTTTACATTTGGAATTGATAATTTGTTTTAAAAAAAAAAAGAACCATTATGATATCTCCAATGTTTTAGGCAAATGAAAATTATAATAATTTTAACGCCAGCAGATTCAATTATGATAATCTTGATATTACTGAGATAGTATTATCCTTTAATTAGCTACCGAAATAAATTCTAATTCTCAATTACTCTTACTTTTCATTTTACAAACTATGTATCCTTTATCTTGGCTTATTGACCTAACTAAATTTATTAATAATTGCACTATTAAAGAAAAAAAGAAAAAAAGAAAACGATTGGAATACTTCAAACGATTCATTTTATTGAAATACTTTTGGGAAATATTCCACTGTTATAGAATATTTCTCATCAATCAAATTTAATACTTCTAATTTAATGAAAAAAATAAATTCCACAATCAAATTTTATTAATAGAAAAGTTGTGTACATAATTAAATTGCATTGAATTTATGATAATTTGTGCTTATTATATGAAGTTAAGCATAAAAAAAGAATTTCCAAAACTATTTATTTTATTTTTATTTCAAATTATCCAACTTATCAATTTTTTTTTTCATTTCCTGAAAATGTAAATATTTTTTAACTCTTCAATTTTTTAAGAATTTAGAACATTTTCAATTTTAGGATGAAATTGAATTAAAAAAGAGTAATTCAATTTCCTACACTTTGACTGCAATACAAAGATAAATTTGATGCAAATCGCTTTTGATAATATTTCTGTTCAAACTGAAAACTTTTCATTGTAATAAAAAGATTAATATTCAATAAGTATGTTATATTTGCAGGAATAATTTCATTACTGATAACGAATTTGATAGGAAGAGGATTAGAATGATTACGATTAGTTGACACTTTATCAGAGGTTAGAAAGACTTTTGGTATTGATTGATTAGGATTGACAATTTCTCTTTTTTTTTTTAAAATAATTTTCGGAAATTTATTAGAATTACTTAAGTCTTTTTTTATATTAGCTAATATTCCATGAAAAAAAAAAAAAAAAAAAGAATAAAGGAAAATTAGTATGTGAACACGTGAATGAGTCATCAATTCGTTCTCTAATAAATTTGTTTCAAAAAATAATTTAATAATATTTACAACTGAAAAACATTTATTCAATTTTCTATGCAATCAAATATTTTAAAATTATTAAATTTATTATGATTTAAATAAAAAAAAAAAAAGAAACGGAAGGAATCATTCATCCCAACTGAATGCAAATTTGTTGTGATATTTCAAGAAAATTTTTATATTTAAAGAAAAAAATTAAACTATCAATTAAATAAAATTGAAACAAAAATTTATGCATGCAAATTAATTTCCTTTACATTTTATACTTTTTTCAAATGGAACTGAAATTTTTTGACAAACAAAATATTTGTTTTAAGATATTTCTAATATTTATGCATTTAATTTTTTTTAAAAAAAAAAAAAAAAAAAAATATTTATTTAGTATACGTCGAACATTTTTAAAAATATATCTAATGTCTAAAAAAAAAATATATAAATAATGTTTAAAGTTATGTTGTATTGTCATAAGAATAATGTAAATATTAAAAAATTGTTTCACTTATAAGATTTGATCATTTTTCAAGTAATTTATCTAAATCTTCTGTTTCTTTTTTTATTTTACAACAATTTTATAATTAATAAAAATGCTTGTAAATAATTTTATAAATATAACCAAATGAAATTTGCATATACTACTGCAAAAATTAGTACTTTTTATTAAAAAAAAAAAAATAAAAAATGAAAATTTGGAGCTATAATTTGAAGAAGAAAAACCACCGTGGAAAAAAAAAAAGATTACTAATGGATAAGTTGAATTAAGCGATTGTCCTTGTTGTCATCAGTAATTTGCTTTATTTCATTTCAAACTACACAAATTTAACTTTCGATTTTCACAAAGAAATTATTCCTTCGTTCTTTTATTTCCTTTTTCTTCTTTTCATTTTATCTTTCGTTCACTCTTTTGACTTTAACTCTCAAAACTTTATGTTTTCTTTTTAATTTGAAATTCTTAATAACTATTGAAGGAAGACAAAAAAAGAGATAACAGTAAGATATTTTAAGTTTGAAATTTAAAAATTAATTGAAATTTAAAGCTGGGAAAAAAGAGTTTAATATGAGAAGGATTAAAAGGATTATTTGTTTTAAGGTGTATTAGAAGTAGTATTTATTACATTTTAAAAGTTTGATCGATTGAAATGATAGAATGGAAAAATAAAGGAATAAAGTTATAATACTGATTTTAGATAAGATTAAAAATCAATCATTATTGAATGATTTTTATTTAAAATTTGTTAGTTAAGTTTTTCTCTGTTTTTATGTTCGTTTTTTTTTTTTTTTTTCAAAAATATTATTTATTCATTGCGTTATTGTTAAAACTGCTTGCGCCGATTTAAATGAAAAAAAAATTAATCGAATAATTCAATTACTTATTTAATTTGGGTAATTATTTAATTGTACTGATTTATTTTCAAAAATTTTTGTTGATTTAAAATGAAATTTTATTAGTATTTCTAATATATTTCTAATAATAACCATCTGATATTGAATTTTCCTAAAATTTCATTCGATTAATATTTTCTGACTGCTTTAATTATAGAATTTAGTTGATAAAGAAAAAAAGTACAATGGAAAAAGATTTTAACGGAAGATAAGAAATAAAAAATTAAAAATGCTATTTATTGAAGTATTGGAAAGTTAGAAATGAATGAAATTGAAGAAAAATTTAATGCAACAAATCCTAAAATAATTTCATCTTTTCGCCCATCTAATGGCAACTAAATTATTTATCTTATTTGTAGACTGATTAATTCAATGAATTAAGAAGGAATTAATATTTTTCAAATTAAATTATTAAAATATTTTGCAATCAACCAATACCATTAAATCTCGTTTATAATTAACTATTACTTGTATGTATATTTATAATCGAAGAATAAGTTATCAAATCTTATTTCGGAATGAGAAAAACACGATAGAGAGAGAGAGAGAGAGAGAGAGAGAGAGAGAGGGAGAGAGGGAATGAGAAAGAAAACATTTTTTGTTTTAACAAACAAGCAAATAAACTTACTTGCTGTAATTTTGATGGTGGTAATGATGATGATGATGATAAAGGAATTGATAAACGTTTTGTCTCGTTATCACTTGATTCAGCAATAGCCATATGATGATTATGGAATCCATGAGAATTGCCCATTTATGCGCTATTAACAATTTCAAATTTTAAATTTTTACAAACTTTAATAAACAAAATACAATAGCAATAAAGAATTCAATGAATAAAACAAACAAACAAAAAAGAAAAGAACAGAAATTATAATAAAGAAAAATCATAAATAAATTATCAAATGTAGAAAAAAATCAACAAATTAAGCAAAAATTAGATGCTTTATGAATAAAAAAAAAAAACAAATACTTAGCAAATAAGCATAAAAACTATTTGATAACTGGTTAACTAGCAAATAAGTATGAAAACTATTTGATAACTGGTTAACTAGCAAATAAGCATGAAAACTATTTGATAACTGGTTAACTAGCAAATAAGCATGAAAACTATTTGATAACTGGTTAACTAGCAAATAAGCATGAAAACTATTTGATAACTGGTTAACTAGCAAATAAGCATGAAAACTATTTGATAACTGGTTAACTAGCAAATAAGCATGAAAACTATTTGATAACTGGTTAACTAGCAAATAAGCATGAAAACTATTTGATAACTGGTTAACTAGCAAATAAGCATGAAAACTATTTGATAACTGGTTAACTAGCAAATAAGCATGAAAACTATTTGATAACTGGTTAACTAGCAAATAAGCATGAAAACTACTTGATAACTGGTTAACTAGCAAATAAGCATGAAAACTATTTGATAACTGGTTAACTAGCAAATAAGCATGAAAACTATTTGATAACTGGTTAACTAGCAAATAAGTATGAAAACTACTTGATAACTGGTTAACTAGCAAATAAGTATGAAAACTATTTGATAACTGGTTAACTAGCAAATAAGCATGAAAACTATTTGATAACTGGTTAACTAGCAAATAAGCATGAAAACTACTTGATAACTGGTTAACTAGCAAATAAGCATGAAAACTATTTGATAACTGGTTAACTAGCAAATAAGCATGAAAACTATTTGATAACTGGTTAACTAGCAAATAAGTATGAAAACTATTTGATAACTGGTTAACTAGCAAATAAGCATGAAAACTATTTGATAACTGGTTAACTAGCAAATAA